ATGCTTCAGCGGTGCGTATGTCGAGATATTCAGCACTTGGGAAGTTTGGAGAGCACTCAAGAGGCTAGAGTAGCTCTCGTCCGCGCCTCGAGCAACTCTTACACCTCTTTGCTCTCCACACTTCCCGCGCGCTCAATATCTCGATACGCACGCTGAAGCATGAACTACTTGTTTAAAAATGACAGCAAAATTCAAGCAAGTTCATTACTTGTTCCTTAACGTCTCACTTGTCTCAGTATAGAGTGGGCAAGTACTGTCAGACTGGTGACACTGCAATATCCTGCGCACCGTTAGGACTTGTATGTCCGTATCAGTTTAGCATTTTGGCATTGATATATCAGTGATCACGAGAGGAAGTCTACACTGATCGTGCGGAACGGGAAGTAAACAGTAATCATTGATTTTTTGTATTATTTTATATACTCAGCATTCAAAGAAAGTCGTGTCCGATAGCCCGGGGCCAGAAGATTTTACTGTCGGGCCAGTGATTTTTGTTCTTAGCTGGCCGACGGGCAAGTGCTGTTTTTTAGGGAAATTCAAATTACAGAAGGATTGTAATCAATCCTGCTAATCAAAAAGGGTTTTGGGGCTAGTTGACTTGTGGGCTAGTACATGCTAGCTACAGCTTGCCCGAATGGCAGGCTGTAAAACTGACTTTCTTTGCACCCTGATACTGTAACCGTGTATTCTATTCTCACTTAGCCTTTCCAGCCCCTGATTAAGACTAGTTTTGTCTAGTCGAAATATTGGGAAAATATATTTGTACGCCTTAGCTGTCCGATCAGCTTTGCCTTTAATTTTAAGTATCATTGATATATGCAGCTGTCGATGACAGAGACAGCGAATCGTTATTAAGACGCTTGGATTTGTCACGTTCATATTTTAAGGTTACCAAGAAAGGCTCCCCCTGAGCTTTTCAGTTGAAACTGGGACAAAGGTAACTCCTGTGGGGTCCTGTGTAGCTACGCGCCATCTCAAGATTGACGTGGATCGAGCTAACCGAGGCTACTTGACCAGTGCAACATGTCGAATCGTTTTGTGTTTGTCTTTGTTGGTTTGGCACTATGCACTTTCCAAAGCGGTAGGTACTGCTTGTAAATTTTTTGCAGTTTTTTAGTTTCGTCGATTTGGCTTTTAGGGTTAGAAGAGACGCTACATTGATCTCTCTCCCCGGAATGAAGAAAAACAATATGTCCGCCAAATATATCCTTTTATCTTTGAAAGTTCTCCTTTATTAACAAATGTTGAACATTTATTGCGGCAAACAAACAGTTAAGTTGAAAAAGAATTCACAAAAGTCTCAAAAGTAGGTCTCCTTTTCGATTTTAACGCAATAGGTCAATTTACGCAGCGTTTAAACGTCTGGCTCAGTTTCTGTTTGCTTTTGCTTTAAAAATGGAATAATAATTACTAAGAGACAATACAGTGTAAAGAATTGTTGAGAAAAACAACAAAAACTTACCAATTTAAGACAATAAAGATACTTTAAAAAACAAACTAAAACATTCAAAACGCTTTGATCACGTGCCTGATTACGTCATGTCCCTCTTTTGGTCATGAAAACAATTATCAGGTAGAATATTACTTTCCTGCAAATTTTCTCTGCCGTGTGATGAAAGTTTAACTCTCTACGGCCCTCGGCCTAGTCTCCCGACTTTTCTCTTATGTTCATTACCCACTTAACTTTTAAATGCCGGACGTCAATTGCTTATTTTTAAATGCTCCACACAACCAAAACTTCAAATACGCTCACCCTATTTTATTTTAACCCAAAAATGAAATCTTTTCACAGCAACAAGAAAACCTAATTCAGCAATTGTCACGTGACGTGTAATTATTATTTATTATTAATTAAACACTTACGTTTAATGAAAGCGAGGTTTAGCAAGGCTCAGTTACATCTGAGCCTAGCGCATGTTCAACTAGGAAAGTCGAGGCGCCTGGCACTGCCCGATTTATCTAGGAAGATCCAAGGGCCTCTGCTCGCAGGGTAACGTTAAACTTTCTTGAACCGTTTTTACGTTCTGATTTACATGAGATGCTAAGTAAAGTAGCTTGAGATTTTAGTAGAGCCTAATTACTAGTTCTTTATACAACTTTTATTTGTTACAGCAAAACCTAGCATCTCTGTAAATGTCTCACTTAAAAGCTTAAGTGTAAAGACTAAGGATGGGTGGTTAAAAACACCAGTAAACATTTCCACAACAACAACAACATGCTGCTATAAAATAACTTTCCCAAGAAAAACGGAAAACTCTTTGTTATAGCACTGATTAAAAGAGAAATTCTTACCAGTTGCAAAGTCGTGTACAAGAAGGTTTGCACGCGTAATCAGTTCTTCTTTTGCAAAAAGATGCTTTCCAAAATACGGATTTTTCTCGCTTAAATTGTCAGCTTAAGCGAAAACAAAATTGACACAGCTCGTTTGTAAAGATTTTCCAAGTTTCATCCGACGAAGGAATAAGTAAATAAAGTAAACTTGTCGAGTTTTGAACTCAAAAACGTTTTCAAATTTGTGCTTGCGTGATTAGCGCTCGAAAAGCAAAACATCTTGACGTCACAACCATCTTTACAAACTCTCATGCAAACACTCCTCTCGGCCAATCAGAGCGCGCGTACTATACTTTAGTTATTTTATAAATAAATATGTATATATCTGTGTGATTTTGCTAAAAGGTGCCCGCTAATTTTGAATCTTGAACACGGGCATCACCTGTGTTCAAGCCAGTGTAGCCGGAAAAAAACCAGTGTGCTTGCTGTTTTGCTAGGTCAGCAGAGAACCCAGGACCAGACCTATCCGTGGGTGGGTGGCTGACTTGTTTTGTGTGAAAACCAGGGGCTAAAGAGAGGAGATTTTGTCACTTTGATTAGAGTTTCATGTCAGAAAGCAGTGCAAAGTCAGAGAATTGTTCCTGCGGGCTAGCCCGGCCAAATCAATGCTGTGACTCATAGACATAACTACTAGCAGAGCTTGGGAGAAGTGATTGACCAGTCATAAGCTTCATGGGTGGGGAGGGTGAGTAGTTGCTCCTTGGACTTGGCAGTCTAGAGACTCAGTACAGGCACCTTGTATGAAATCTACACAGATATACATTAAATGCATTATAAATAATAATAATAATAATAATAATAATAATAATAATAACAATAATAATAATAATAATAAACACATAAAAGAAAAGAAAATATTATTTATAATTCACAATTTTAAGTACAAGTTTGTACAAGGAAAAATAATCTACGTGAAGGTAACATCCTGTATTTTGGTCTTTAAGTCTGCAAAAAAACTAGTACGAAAACATTCCGGCAATGCATTCCACTGCTTAGCTGAAAAGTAAGAAAAGGAGTTAAGACCATAGGTTAAGACCATTGTTTTAGGTTTACTAAGTGAAAGAATGTAGTTGCCACGAAGATCATAGGAAGAGGACCGGAGTGAAAACATATTCTTCATATAAGAAGGAAAATGAGTGAAAAACAAACTCTTATGTAACAATGTGAAGAAATTTTGGGTCAGGGAGAAGCGATTTCGGGTCAGGGAGACGTGCGTTAAAATGAGTCACTTTCTTCTCGTTTAAGTTTTTTATGAATAGAACAATAGCATGACGTTAAGAAAAATAGACAGTTTCATATGGAATCTAATGACCGCCGGTTTCGAAAGTGGTTAATCAAAGTACTGGAACAGTTTGAAACAATACATGGAATGTTGATAAAGAAGTGTCTCGTAAAGGGTTCTCAAATGCCGTCGATGTATATGCGCATGCGGTGAATGTTCCGCCGGGTAACAGACAAAATAGGATCATTACCACACATTTATGGTTCATAGTATTTCCTTATCATAGATGAGAATTAAACCCCGCCTTTTTTCAAAATGATTTCTGCCTTCTGAAGCAGCCAGTTTTGTATTTATCTTCTTTTCATAGTTCTAGGAATTATGTGCAAAAAATGTATCCCTTCAGCTTATCCCCGTATAGTACTCTGCGATATACCCGAACAGATATATATCCTTTATTACATATTGTATCTTCTGCGTAAAAACGAGGATACTATTGTTAAACAAGCCTTTCGTACTTCGCTAGAACTTCAATGTAATGGTAAAAATAGCTTTTACCATAATCTTATAAAAATATCTGAATATTATGACCTCCCTGATTTTGATCCTAATAATTTAAGTGAAGCTAAGATCAAACACTATATAGATATAATAAAACAAAAATATATTGCATATTGGCAACATACACTCCATCATTCTAAGAAACTACAATTTTACAGCTTATTTAAACATGATTATAAAATTTCAAGTTATCTAGACTTAATTAGAAATTCTGCTAATAGGAAAGATTTAGTGAAAATTCGTATAAGTAACCACAAACTCATGATTGAAACTGGAAGATATAATCAAACTTCCCGCAACGATAGATTCTGCCCTATTTGTAACTCTCTTCCATTGTCCAAAATACTCGATCCCAAGGGAGAAATTCTACAATCAAATCCAACAAAATTTCGTCGACTTTAATCAGCTATCTTACACATAATTAATAATTAAATTGATGAATTCACAGAATTTTTCCGTAAATTCACATTTGTTGAAATTTGTCTCATTATGTAATGATTTACGTAATAATTTGTTATCAAATCATGCTGATGACACTTGATTGACTATAGTAATCATTGCATTGCATTATCATTGTTATGATTTGTTTGTTTGTTTGTTTGTTTTTTTTTATGTTGAAGCTTTTGCAACACTGTAACTACATAATTATAGTCATGCAAATAAAGCTAATGTTGTTGTTGTTATATATTAATTGAATTTAATATAAAGTAGATGTTTTTTAGGATTTTTATACCTTACTATTATTCAATTATATTTAACATAATAACTTGCTGTTAGTCGTTTTAATTTAATTTTTTTCCTCCAGTCGAGTGTTTTATACAGTCATCGACGCTAAATAAAGTTACGTACTTAATTTTATCTTTTGTCTTTCCTCTCAGTTTTAGGAATTATGTGCAAAAAGTGCACTCCTTCCGCCAGACCTCTAGTACTCTGCAACCTTCCTTCACAGATAACCGAGGTAAACTGTGACAAAGAGACTGCAGCTGTTCCAGGAATAACATTCGACGCCTGCACTTCAGCAAAGGTGGTGGCCAACGTGGAAACAACGTATGGGTATGGATGTACTTTTAAGGTTAGTTAAAAACGAATAACAAGGTCAACTAAGGGATAGCATGCACCTGTTAGTTTAGACTGTTCAAAGTCCTCTATTTTCCATAAGATCGTCGAGATCAAAAAATCTACTTGGAGGGCAAGAGGGCGATTTGGGAGGAAGCCAGAAATCTTTTTCTCGCCTCCAGCTCCCCCCACAGCTTTAAACGCCGACGCCCGCCTATCTTAACATAAGAAACCAAGCTGGCCGCCCATAAGCAGTCCATCCTGACGATGTTACGAAAAAAATGCTTAGCCCAAGCAGTGGTTGGAAAATCATCGAAAAATGTTACTTATCTGTATCTGAATTACATTTTTTGTTTTTGTAACATTTTGACCTGATCTAGAAAAGTGACAACAATGCTTGATATCCAAGTTTCACTTACTGATAGTTTTTTATTCTCCTTTCGTTCTTTTAGAACTCCTCTGATTCTTCCCTTTTCAACTGTACCACCACGCAAGAACGCGTCTGCTTGGATGCAGAGAGTAGATTGTCCTCATTGCCTTTTAAGGTCACTATCATCTCCTGTCGAGCAAAGTGCTGCGATACAAATAACTGTAACGTACAGGAACTGATCGACCTGCCCCCAACAACTGAAGGCCCAACCACTGAAAGCCCGACAACTCAAGGCGCAACCACTGAAAGCCCGACAACTCAAGGCGCAACCACTGAAAGCCCGACAACTCAAGGCCCAACCACTAAAAGCTCAACCCTCGAAAGCCAAACCACTGAAAGTGGCGTGGAACAAATTCAGTCAGCTGTTCTGACCGTTTATCCCCTGATTTTCTTGACCTTGTGGTTTAAACTGCTTGATTAAATCCTGATTTGTCGTTTATCGCAATTAATTTGTTGTTAGCAATGCTATGTTTAGCGATGACAGTGTTCTTAAAAGAGAGGAAACAGGACGAACACTAAAGCTATTATTTTTAACCAGCTCGGCTTCAGACTCAACTAGTTTTTTCAGACATTTAATATCGCTACCTACGGTTAAAATAATGCAAGATATCTGGGCCATGTCATATGATCGAAAGTACTGTAGATCGGAACATTTCTAGAAGGAAATATTTTAAAATTGTGGATCAGTCCAATATGCACCCACCTGGGCGGAAAAATTAAAAAATTATCATCTGTGCTGTAGTTACACTGCTGCCAATTTTAAACTAAAACAGCACAAAACAGCATATCAGTGAACGTTGATTTAAACATAAATTTAACCATGCAGAGATTAGGGGACAAATAGCCGCTGGGTGTTAGTGTATTGTTGAAGATGAAAAAATAAATCATTTACGGGTCCATTCCAAAGGTGGCTCCTACCACTTGGAAAAGGGTATTACTCTACTCTCCAGTTTTCTGGAAATGTCTACAAGAAAGCCTCCCACGCCGGCGTTTTTAGGGGAGTGGTAGGAGGAAATACGATTCCCCTGAAAACGCCTGCGTGGGAGGCTAGCAGGACGTCTGCATATTTGAAACTGGGGGAATTGACCATTTTACAGTTGTGCGTAGTATCCTAGCCTTTGAGTGAACATGAGGCTGGGGTTGACCTTGTTTTGATACAAGCCTCTTTCTCTTTCTTATGGAAATTATGCTTAAAAAATACAGTAGCATAAGAACGACGTATAATTTGCATAATATAGCGGGAGGGTGTTTTATTACAAACAAGGTCCTCAACTCCAGCCTCTTTTCCACCTGTAACAGTAAAATGGTCTATTGGCGGCCGCCTGACACTCCACCAGCCAATATACAACACAACCAGCCAAGGGCCTCTTTACATAGAGTTGAGGGACCCCAGGTAGATGAGGTAACCCGCTTAGGTGGGGTAACCCGCCTGTCCATATAATCTCTCATTTTAATTTGATCATGTTTACATGATAGGTGGGGTAACCCGCCACATGCTACCTCACTTACTTGGGGTCACCCACCTCCATGTAAACGGGCCCTAAGGGCCGGTTCAATAGTCGCATTTTACATGTGCCAAATTTAATGCTAATGAAGAAAATCTGTTTAATTCTCGCTCATTTATATTACATTAAAAAATAGGCTATGTTAGGCTATGTTATGGCTATGCGTTGGGCTATGTTCACACTTAACAGGACAGTTTGTCCCCGGCGTGCCGCGGGGGCGGCGGGGGGGACAAGAAAAGCTCTTCGGTGAAGTATGAACAGCATCGGCACAAAACTGGAACAAGTCGTTCAGGGGCACCCAACGAGAATATAGTTCAAAACTACTTAAACATAGCATTCTTAAACGAATTTTAGTATTTAAACAGTAGATATTGGCATATTTTTATCCCCTAAAAATTTTCCATCTGTTCGGATTTCCTAGTCTAGTGATCCGAAAATTATAGGGATCAAAACTTACCTTTTCGAAAGTTTCAGCTAGGTAAAAGGCTACCAAAAATTATAGGTGATCTTTTTAGGGTAAAAATCCATTAAAAATGGACAATTATACCATTTTTTAGATGTTCGAAAATCCTAGGAGAGGCAGGCAAGCAAAAAATTTTACAGCAAATGTTCCGAAAATTCTAGATCTCAAATCGTCTTCCGAACAGATATTTTCCGAAAATTGACGTTGGGTGCCCCTGGTCGTTCACACACATCGAGCAAAGTGCAGGGCGGAGCAGTTGGCCTTGAGGGTTTGGTTCTTCAAATCCAACCCTGACACCTGAATATTTACTTCCTTCGTAGTGGGTCCAGTCCTCTTTCCTACTTATTCACCTTCGCCACTGTGCGAATACCTGTTCATGCTACGGCACCAAAGTGTGGCACCCACTCTATCCGATATGTGACGCTCCACTTTCGAGATCGGCGTGGCGCAGCTTCGGTCCGTTACAGAAATCGCGCCGAAATTACCGTTCTTATGTGTGAACAGAAGCCCTATCCAGTATTGTTTTCGTGCCGGCGCAAAAGCTATCTGGGATAGTGAGAAAAAAGTCTCAGTTGACTATTCCCAGTTTCCTATTGAATAGATCATTACCCTTGGTACCAGAGGTTTTTCTCGCGTGCGGCGGGAATTTTCCGTGTTGGCAGAAGCCACGAGTTGCGAAGCCGCGAGAAAAAACGGGAAACCGCGCTAGAAAAGTCTGTGGCACCCAGGGTAATAGATCATTGGCCTCGGAGAGATATATCGTAATGTCCACGAAATGTTTGGCTACGATTTTCTTGGACCAATAAAATCGCTTCTGGTGAGAACATTCAAGGAAAAGATATTTGCAAAATAAAAATTGAAAGCTAAACGCTATAAAGCTCAGACTGTTCGACTGCTCATTATGAAGTCTTTTATTTCTTGTTCCGTATACTGTAACTTCTTGAGAATCGCCTATCTATGAAAGAAGATGCTTTTCCACTTTTCCGCGGGCACTGGTAGCTCCGCTGCCAAAATAGACTGTTCACAGTCCCCGATTTTTTCGTCACATCGTCAGGAGCGAGAGCTGACACCGAGAGGGCGGGATATGACACTCATCCAAGATGGCCGCTATTAACGCAAAGCGCTTATGGAAAAACAGGGGACTCTGAACAGTTTACCGCCAAAATGTTTCCCGAATTCACACAAGTGAGCCCCCGGGGGGGGGNGGGCGGGATATGACACTCATCCAAGATGGCCGCTATTAACGCAAAGCGCTTACGGAAAAACAGGGGACTCTGAACAGTTTACCGCCAAAATGTTTCCCGAATTCAAACAAGTGAGCTTGCTCTCAGGCTTGTGCGGATACGTGTACCGTAAATTACATCGTAAAGTTAAATGTTTTCAACAACAGGCGATGAAAATGCTTATTGTTGAAGGAATTTATTAGGGGTTATTAAATTTCGTTCCCATACTGTTTCACAACAGGAATGCGTCTTTGACAATAGAAATTGCAATAGCTGCTTCCATAGCACCCTACAACACGACTGTTTTCAGAGTTAGGAAACCTGCACGCCAAGGTTAACTACGTGAAATTATTGAGACAATACAACTGCGACGGTCATATCTTCATTTGGATTCGTTCGCACTATTTTCAATCTAAATAATAAATAGAGTTGCAATATCATTAATAACAACGTTTTTTATTGGTATACTTAATGCTCCAGTACACAATTAAATGCAACTACACAATATCCAACTGGGCGTTCCATTCATTAAAAACTACAAAATAAAACTCTGCATAAACTCTGCACAATTAGAGTCTAATCTGTCTAATTAACGTCAGTAAATACCTCATTTCATTTTTCAGTAGTATTGGTTAGAGGAACTCGTCGCGCTAAACTTCCAACTGCTGAACCTTCACAATAAAACGAAAGTTTTCTAGGTATCTTGAACTGAATTCAACTGAGTTCGTCGGCTGAACGATTTGGATGAATGGGCTCAACAGATTGAAAATCGTCAGCGTTAGCGGCTAAAAGGCTACATGAACGGCCCAAAAACTTGCATGGTCGTGGCCCCGTTCAAGCGCAAAAGGTCGTGAAAACCGACATTATAGACATAAACAAAAATACTCTTAGAAGCTTCCAGTTCGTAAATGGCGCAACTGCCTTCCACCGCAGGTAAAATAATATAATAAAATGCACTACTTCGACCGCTTAAAAGCAGTATTGCCCACTATAAAGGCCTTTTGAATTCTTATTCAATAAAGCCTCAATAGCTTTTATAATTACCACACTTTGACATTCAGCCTTCTAAATAGTTCATCCGTTCTTCGACTGACGCGAACAGTCTAGTTAATTCACTCTTAATTGTCCTGAGTGTTTATTGTACCCACATAGGATGATAACAACCGAAAAATTCTTGTGAGGCCGAATAATAGACTCACAGGATATGGTGAGAGTTAAGAATGTCGTCCAGAAATAATAATATTGTTTGCCTTCTTATACGACTGAGTGACTCAGTGAATGAAAGAATTAACCCTTTATGATGTCAAGAATGTTATTACGGCCAGTGGTAATACCAAATAGAACTACGTTATTATCTCTCCACGTCTGCAATTAGGGTTCTAATTGACAACTTAACTGTGAGTTGGAGTTTTCCGCTATTAGTAAATAGACAACGAGACGGGAAGCGGCTCGATGACTAGATGCAGTCAACGAGAACGAGTAGTCACTCAAATTATTCATAGTGAAAAACAACTAACACACTCCTTCGCTTCTATAGAGCACTTTCACTCACGTAGCCAGCAGCCACGCAAATTTGTTATAACAAAAGGAAGTTGTTACTTAAGAAGAAGGTTAAACTCCCACAGTACTGGTTTGGAAAACCATCATGGCTGCTGTTTTGAGACACCAATATGGCGGACGTGACAACATGAGAAAACACTCTATGAATAAATTTTAATAATACACAACTTGAATTCACGAAAACTTCTATTGTTTGTCACTAAGAAATGACTAAAACTTTACTTTTTAGCGTTAAAAATGTTCATTCCGTATTTTGTGGCAGCTTTACTTGTTTTTTTTTCCTCCAGAGATGGCATCGTTTATTTCACGAGAACATCGCACAGTGATTTGTTGAAGAAGTCGCCATTGTTTTGCCTTATTTAAAACACCGGCTCGTTACTGACTCACTCTCGAACATGCAACAGTAACTGAGTTAGCCAATAAGATTGCAGAAGAGGATTGATTGAGGGTTTTTTCGCAAGAGGGTTTCTACTGACTTATACTGAGCA